GATGATCTACATGTTTAGTTTACTCCATCTTAATATGAAAATACTTGCTAATTGATTGATTATAAGTTGTGTGGGAATATTTATTCATGATGTGATATGTGTTTTGAGGAAGTTTGATTGTTTTATATTTATGGCATTATGACCTGGCGTTTTTGGGGAATTAGATTTGAGTTTTACCCGATGACGAGCAAAAGCTAAGTGTAAGGAATTTGATTTGAATGTAAAATGCATAATTTTTCCTCTTTATTTAATACGCTAGTATGATTATTTTATACCAAAATATACTTATTAATCTCATATTTTGGTTTAGGTGACAATTTAATGGATATAACGTAATTTGGAAGAAATAAGTGAAAATTGACCAAAATGGAAGAAAGTGAAAGTTCAGGAACTAAAGTGCAAATAATATAAACTTGCTTCTAACCTTGTGATGAATATTCGAGAGTGTTAGGGGTCAATTATATGAAGGAAGGAGTCAAAAGGGATGAAAGATAACCAAAACATTATCATATATCAAGTTTTCAGCCTCATTTTGAGACCAGTTTTTGACATGGTAGATGATCGAATTTAAATATGTATCTGATGCAAAGTTGTAGCCCTTTGAGTTATCTTTCCAATACATCTTGAATCATCTCAATCGGATATCGGGAGAGGAAGTTATGACGAAAATATTAAAGAGAACGCAGAATTTGAAACAACAACATAGCGCCCAGGCGTTACAACATAGCGACCAGGCGCCGTGTTTTCCAGAAAGAACAGATTTTCAGCGTAGCACTTGGGCACTACTCCTGTCTCCCATAGTGCCTAGGCGCCTCGCAGTGCAAATTAGGGTTTTTTTTGTATGTATGGGCCGCGAAAAGCCTAGAAAAACACTCCAAAACACATTAGAACCTCTTCAACCTTTTCTCTCTCTATTTTTTCTTAGATCTATCATGTGTAACTAACTCTTGGAACTTGATTGAAGGATACAGAAGCCTTGGAAACCATTATAACTGTGAGATCCACCTATTTTCATTGTTTAATTTATATTTTCAGTATTGAATATTCTTCTATGCATAATTTTATGATTGTCATGTTTGATTGCTAAGAGATCTATTAGTTTTTCATATATTCAATC